TTGAGGATATTCTAGCAATCGAGAATAACTTCTCTGCTTTTTTACAAAAGCTGGAAAAGTGGGCTTTGCTTTTAGCAGAAAGAGAATGTATTGCTTTGAATATCTTTTCATTGATTTTTCTTTCCAAACTGAAATTCTGCGTAATCCAGTTGCGAAGAAACATATTTATAGTTATTTTCCATGAAACATAATAGCGTTAAATTCCGATTCGCGTCCTAGTCACTACATAATTAAAAGGTCACATTGAAGGAAGATTTTTTCAGGAAGGATATCTTATAACCATTTAAAAAAAAAACTGAATGATTCGACTTTCTTTGAAATGCAGCAGTTGAAATCTTTACTTTCCTTAGACCCGACAATAAGCATTCGAAAACATGCCATTGTTCTAGGCACGGGACAGCCGCTTTTTAACCCAGTTTCATTTCTTCCCTACTATATTTGATATCCGAGTCATTCAAACCTTTCAGAAAAAAAGCAATTAAATGAATTAAAATTATCTAAAATCCATGTATATTTTATTTTATTGCATTCATTTTTAGTTTATTTTACAATGCTTAAAAGCTTCTACCTGCACCAATAGAGAAAAACCTACTGTGACCAATTCATCGTTTTAACTAACCGCTATTATATGATTTAACAAAAATGATGAAGAGAATGTATACATCGTCAAAGATTTCTACATATTTCATATATCTTAACTGAACAAAAAAAAAACACACGAAAGAAATACCAATTCTAAAATTAATGGCAATGATTCAGAAGCGAAGTACAATGAGTTTGTCTCCAATGAATTATTATATTTCACAATGCAGTTCATCAAATAGAGAAATTGTTTATATTGAGTTGTTGTATTTGTGATGCAATGATTTAGTGATTCTCTTACTTACTTAAGTATAATTTCTAAAATAATATATATTAAGTTAAATCTCAGTGATAAATACGTGTTTCTCTTTTTAACGCCATAACTCTTAACCGACGCCCATGATTCTCCACAAGATAGATTTATATATTATCTCTGAATTGCTATGTATCCATGGACAAGATAGCGGAGGGATTTGTTTTTGCCGCTGTTTGATATTTCGATTTTTCATTTTCTTAGATTGACTGCAAAAAAATAGATTCCATTTTACGATTTAACCCATAGCTGAAAAAATCGAAAAGACAAAATTCATTCTTTATCCAAAGGAATATTTAAGGAGGTGAATGGCATACTTTGGTATTTGAACGCTGTTTGCCATTTCCATTTTTCACGCTGACGTACCATTGTTGTACTTATCAATGCATAATCTACTCAGATCCATGCATTTATCGTTTCCCATATTTTAATTCATATTGTAGAAACAATATGGGATACCCGTAGATCATTAAGTTAACATTTTATGTTAAGTATTTCAAGAATCAGGATAAAATAAGTAATATATATATATATATATATATATTTTTTACTGTGACAGTGGAGACTTCTGGGTTTATTGGCTCTCGTTCGATGGCGTTTCTTCGGAAGGTTGGCAGGATGGCGTCTCGATTAAGGGACGAGCCTCGCGAAACGAAGTGACTCTTGCAACGTGTCTCACTGGGGATGGTACGAGGTAATGCTTTTTCCATCACTGCGGCTGGCAGAGGATAGTAAAAAAAACATATTTTGTTTATAACTATTTTGTCAAATGA